GCTGCCTCCCACCACACACACTAGTGGGGCCACACCACCTGCTGCCTCCCACCACACACACTAGTGGGGCCACACCACCTGCTGCCTCCCACCACACACACTAGTGGGGCCACACCACCTGCTGCCTCCCACCACACACACTAGTGGGGCCACACCACCTGCTGCCTCCCACCACACACACTAGTGGGGCCACACCACCTGCTGCCTCCCACCACACACACTAGTGGGGCCACACCACCTGCTGCCTCCCACCACACACACTAGTGGGGCCACACCACCTACTGCCTCCCACCACACACACTAGTGGGGCCACACCACCTGCTGCCTCCCACCACACACTAGTGGGGCCACACCACCTGCTGCCTCCCACCACACACTAGTGGGGCCACACCACATGCTGCCTCCCACCACACACTAGTGGGGCCACACCACATGCTGCCTCCCACCACACACACTAGTGGGGCCACACCACATGCTGCCTCCCACCACACACACTAGTGGGGCCACACCACATGCTGCCTCCCACCACACACACTAGTGGGGCCACACCAAGGCCAAGAAGAAAACCCTGATGTAATAGGACTAACAGAAACAAAATTGTCAGGAGTCATAACAGATGCTGTGTTTCCAAAGGACTACTATATAGTAAGGAAAGAGAGGGAAGGGAGAGGAGGTGGAGGAGTGGCCCTGCTGATAAGGAAGGACTGGAGTTTTGATGAGATGGAAATTCCGGGCTGTGACGGATTCAGAGATTACATAACAGGAACTATAACAATGGGTGGACCTAAGATAATAGTGGCAGTCATTTACAACCCTCCCCTAAATGACAGAAGACCTAGACAGGAGTTTGATAGGAACAACATGGCAACCATTAATATAATAGAGAGAGCAGCTTCACTTACCTGCAGGAAAGGCTCTAGAGTCCTAATCATGGGCGATTTCAACCACGGAAAGATAGACTGGGAGAATGGGGACCCACATGGTGGTGCAGATACGTGGAGAGCTAAACTCTTGGAAGTGGCAACAAGGAATTTTCTGAGCCAGTATGTCAAGGAACCCACAAGAGTGAGAGGCAATGATGAACCAGCTAGACTCGACTTGATATTCACCCTGAATAAGGGAGTCAGAAATAAGGGAAGTCAAAGTTGAAGCCCCCATAGGAATGAGTGACCACAGTGTACTGACCTTTGAGTACTTGGTGGAGGTAGGGATAACCTATCCAAGGATGGGATCGGAGGGAAAAAGACTGAATTACCGAAGAGGAAAATATGACGAGATGAGGAACTTCCTCAGGGGAATACCATGGGAAACACAACTTAGAGACAAGAATGTGCAGGTCATGATGGATTTTGTCACCCAGAAGTGCCAGGAAGCTGCAGACAGGTTTATCCCCGTCCAAAAGGAGAAAAACGAAAAACAACAGGAAAAACCCATGGTTCAACCAGGAATGCAAGGTAGCGAAACAACTGAGTAAAAGAACATGGAGAAACTACAGAAATAACAGAACACCAGAGAGCAGAGAGAGATACCAGAGGGCCAGAAATGAGTACCTCAGAGTGAGGAGGGAAGCAGAGAGACAGTTTGAAAATGACTTAGTGAGTAAACCCAAGACCCAACCAAAGCTGCTCCACAGCCATATCAGGAGGAAAACAGCAGTGAAGGAACAAGTGATGAAGCTGCGAAAAGGGGAGAACAGATACACAGAGAATGACAAGGAAGTGTGTGAAGAACTCAACAAGAGATTCCAGGAGGTCTTCACAATAGAACAAGGAGAAGCCCCTGCACTAAGTGAGGAGTTGGCAAACCAAGCAACCTTGGAGGAATTTGACCTCACCAGTGAGGAGGTCAAAAGGTGTCTGCTGGAGCTGGATGTGACAAAGGCTGTTGGGCCTGACAGAATCTCACCATGGATGCTAAAGGAAGGTGCACAAGCACTAAGTGTACCACTTTCTATGGTGTATAACAGGTCACTGGAAACAGAAGACAGCTAACGTGGTCCCAATATACAAGAAGGGTGACAGGCAAGAGGCACTGAACTACAGGCCAGTTTCCTTAACTTGTATACCATGCAAGGTGATGGAGAAGATCGTGAGGAAAAGGCTCGTAGAGCATCTGGAGGGAAATAACTTTGTAACGCACCACCAACATGGGTTCAGGAATGGTAAATCGTGCCTCACAGGTTTAATAGAATTTTATGACCACGCAACAAAAATTAGGCAGGAAAGAGAAGGGGGCCGACTGCATTTTCCTGGACTGTCAAAAAGCCTTTGACACAGTACCTCATAAAAGGCTGTTAAAAAAGTTGGAGCAACAGGCAGGAGTAAAAGGGAAGGTGCTCCAGTGGATAAGGGAGTACTTAAGCAACAGGAAACAGCGAGTAACGGTGAGGGGGGAGACATCAGAGTGGCGAGATGTCACCAGCGGAGTCCCACAGGGCTCAGTACTTGGACCCATCCTGTTTCTAATATATGTAAACGATCTTCCGGAGGGTATAGACTCATTCCTCTCAATGTTTGCTGATGATGCAAAAATTATGAGAAGAATCAAGACGGATGAAGATAGATAGAGACTACAGGATGACCTGGATAAACTGGAGGAATGGTCTAGAAAATGGCTGCTAAAGTTCAACTCAGGAAAGTGTAAGGTGATGAAATTAGGCGAAGGGAGCAGGAGGCTGAACACAAGGTATCATCTGGGAGGTGAAATCCTGCAAGAGTCAAATAGAGAGAAAGATTTGGGGGTTGATATCACACTGAACCTGTCCCCAGAGGCCAAACATCAAAAGAATATCATCAGCGGCATATGCGAGACTGGCCAACATAAGAACTGCCTTTAGAAACTTGTGTAAGGAATCTTTCAGAACCCTGTATACCACTTATGTAAGACCAATCCTGGAGTATGCAGCTCCAGCCTGGAATCCATACCTAGTTAAACACAAGACAAAGCTAGAGAAGATTCAGCGGTATGCCACCAGGCTCGTCCCGGAACTGAGAGGAATGAGCTACGAGGAAAGGTTAAAGGAGCTGAACCTCACATCCCTGGAAAACAGAAGAGTAAGGGGAGACATGATAACCACCTACAAAATTCTCAGAGGAATTGACAGGGTGGACAAAGACAAACTCTTCAGCACGGGTGGGACACGAACAAGGGGACACAGGTGGAAACTTAGTACCCAGATGAGTCACAGAGACGTTAGAAAGATTTTTTTCAGTGTCAGAGTAGTTAATAAATGGAATGCTCTAGACAGTGATGTGGTGGAGGCTGACTCCATACACAGTTTCAGGTGTAGATGCTGCCTCCCACCACACACTAGTGGGGCCACACCACCTGCTGCCTCCCACCACACACACTAGTGGGGCCACACCACCTGCTGCCTCCCACCACACACACTAGTGGGGCCACACCACCTGCTGCCTCCCACCACACACTAGTGGGGCCACACCACCTGCTGCCTCCCACCACACACTAGTGGGGCCACACCACCTGCTGCCTCCCACCACACACTAGTGGGGCCACACCACCTGCTGCCTCCCACCACACACTAGTGGGGCCACACCACCTGCTGCCTCCCACCACACACTAGTGGGGCCACACCACCTGCTGCCTCCCACCACACACTAGTGGGGCCACACCACCTGCTGCCTCCCACCACACACTAGTGGGGCCACACCACCTGCTGCCTCCCACCACACACTAGTGGGGCCACACCACCTGCTGCCTCCCACCACACACTAGTGGGGCCACACCACCTGCTGCCTCCCACCACACACTAGTGGGGCCACACCACCTGCTGCCTCCCACCACACACTAGTGGGGCCACACCACCTGCTGCCTCCCACCACACACACTAGTGGGGCCACACCACCTGCTGCCTCCCAACACACACTAGTGGGGCTACACCACCTGCTGCCTCCCACCACACACACTAGTGGGGCCACACCACCTGCTGCCTCCCACCACACACACTAGTGGGGCCACACCACCTGCTGCCTCCCAACATACACTAGTGGGGCCACACCACCTGCTGCCTCCCACCACACACACTAGTGGGGCCACACCACCTGCTGCCTCCCACCACACACTAGTGGGGCCACACCACCTGCTGCCTCCCAACACACACACTAGTGGGGCCACACCACCTGCTGCCTTGGTCGATAAATCGATATAGCTTAGTCGATAGAGCATTAATAGTTACCTATTTACGTTTGATTACAAAGTGTAATCAATACATGTAGAATACATGTTTTGTATAAATACAATTATTTTCAAATTATAGAACTATAATAATATAATAGTTACAACTGATAAACTAACAGTTTGGTCTTTGACTGAAGATGATAATATTGTTGAGAAGTCAGTTCCATCAGGAGATTTCAACGCGGTGTAAACACGAATCAGCTGACTGGATCTTCACCACGACCCCAACAGCTGACCGGACCGCCCCCCCCCCCTGACCCCATCAGCAGACCATGGTGTCTTCCTCTTTCCCCACCAAAACAGAAACAGCTGACCGGGTCTCCCGCCACCCCTTGACTCCAACAGCTGACCGGGTCTCCCGCCACCCCTTGACTCCAACAGCTGACCGGGTCTCCCGCCACCCCTTGACTCCAACAGCTGACCGGAAATTCTCGTTTTGGCGGCAACCTGACAGCCGCCTCTCAGACCTTGTACTTAATTTCATAGCAATATTTCTTTCTTTCTTGTTAAACGTTGAACACTCACACACTAGACTTAATATGTTGAGTTTTACAAAGTAGGAATGGAGCTGTTTTTAAATATTTTTTTTCAAATATTTATGAAAGTATAGGTAGATGTGATATTAATCTTTAATTATTTCTGTCAGCTGTCTCGCCTCTTTTATGAACTGGCGTCACTTTTCCTTTTTTAATTAAGAATATCGAAAAACCTATATAGATTAAGATATTTGCCTTGTGCAAAACGTTAGGGCTTAACAGATTATGACACAGCACTTAATTAACGCAGAACATATATGTACTCACCAGCACTTTCATGTTATATGTTATGAAAGGGAGAGAGTGTGTAAACAACAAGTATAGAACACTCAACACGACGTCTTGCACTGGCAAAGAACACTGCTGCAATGTCGAGATGCCACGACGACGCTTCTTTACATAGACTCTGGCCTTCTCGGTTGCCACATACTTTATTTTACAAATAATATAATTGTAATGTACATTCGACATGTATTTCCTTACTCTGAATAATATTTATATATATATATATATAAATTGTTTACCTATGCAATAAACATATATAAATGCAATACAGAGTACGATACAATAAAAAATATTTTACTGTGAAATGACAACTCTTGACACTATTAATGGAAGATTATTACCTTGGATGGTCAGTGAACTGTCTCCGCTTCACCACTTACCACCAAACATAACATATTGTAAAATGCTTTGATGGGTTGTGTCTAAGTATGACAGTGTCAGGCCACGGAGGAAGAATTGAAACAGGAATTTCCTTAAGTACTTTCGTATGTTAATACATCTTCAGAAGGAATGAATGAACGTTTCATTCATTCATTCCTTCTGAAGATGTATTAAATATACAAAAGTATTTAAGGAAATTCCTGTTTCAATTCTTCCTCCGTGGGCTGACACTGTCACATTTTTCATCACGTGTTAATTTTCGTGATTTACACACACACACACACACACACACACACACACACACACACACACACACACACACACACACACACACACACACACACACACACACACACACACACACACACACACACACACACACACACACACACAAGAGCTACGAGGAGAGATTAGAGGCATTAAATATGCAAAAACTAGAACATAGAAGAAAAAGAGACGATATGATCACTACGTTCAAAATAGTAACAGGAATCGATAAAATTGATAGGGAAAATTTCCTGAGACCTGGAACTCCAAGAACAAGAGGCCATAGATTTAAACTAACGAAACAAAGCTGCCGGAGAAATATAAGAAAATTCACTTTTGTAAACAGAGTGGTAGACGGTTGGAATAAGTTAGGTGAGAGGGTGGTGGAGGCTAAACCCGTCAGTAGTTTCAAAGCGTTATATGACAAAGAGTGTTGGGAAGACGGGACACTACGAGCGTAGCTCTCATCCTGTAACTACACTTAGGTAATTACACACACACACAGAAACACACACATATATATAGGCTTGTTCGCATTTGTGTTCCTCACGTGTGCTTCAAAGAATGAGGTGATTTGATAAAATACCATGCCCAAGACTACCATCAGAGTGCCGGCGGGAGGATGGAGAATTAGCCTCGGCTACCATCCTCTTTTATCCGGTCGTGATGGTCGAGTGGTTAAGGGATCCTGTACATTAGTTGCAGAGTGCTTCTGGCAGTATGGGTTCGAGTCTACAAAAATCAGAAGATACAAGTGACGATTTACTATAAAACCAAAAAAACGGCCAGCCTACTCATGAGAAACTCTCCAGACACAAAGCAAAACGCTTTAAAAGAGACCAACGTCGTCTATGCCTTCAAATGCCCTCTTGGGGACTGTAAGCCCCAAATAATTCAGTATATAGGCAAGACAACAACATCTCTTTCCAGGAGATTAACAATGCATAAGCAACAGGGGCTCCATTAAGGTACATATAATCTCTTCCCACAACCAGACCATCACCAGAGAAGTCTTAACAAACAACACAGAAAACATCGATAGATACAGCGATAGCAGGCGGCTTGATATCTGCGAGGCACTACACATCAAGAAGTCAACACCAGCAATCAATAGCCAATTAATGCACAACTATATTCTACCCACTTCAAGAATCCGTACCAATATAGAAGCATCAAGAGGAAATATGGACCAATAGGCCCTTTGCAGTTACTTCCATTCTTCCCTTTCACTTATCCAATTTATACCCATTGCACCGTGTCCTGTCTTGTGTTGAAAGTTTTGTTCACCTCATCCAAAACTGTTGTAACATATCACCTCACCCAAATGCGAGTATATAAGACAAAAGCTGTTTAAATGTTAGCATAGTAAAACTCTGTTTAGTGTTTGCAGGTTATATTTGTGTGTGTAAACTAAAGACGACTCTGCTTAGATAGTTGGCTACCAGCTATCCTAACTGCGGTTCATCTAAGCGAGACTATATTGACCCTTATGCACCCTGTGCACGGCGATCCTGGGACTAAGGTGGTCTGCCCCTAGATGTGATCTTGGACCATATTCTGTAGATGGAATATGTCCAGGTCAGGGCCTTCACAGAGCAGATCTCAAGGTCGCTCTTGGTGAGACCCATGTCTAATAGCCCACGCGCACTCTCCTTGCACTATCCTCCCCTCCAATTAAGGGTTATTGAAGAGGCGGATGCTGTGTGCTTCCCGGTATATTCCCTGACCTTTTGAAGGATCTCTGGGGTGCCGTATTTGTCACACTTGCTCTGGTGTGGACGGGAGAGTGGGAAGTTATCAGCTGAGACCTGGGTGTCTAATATAAAGGCTTCATTACCTTTGCAAGCTATGATGTCAGGCTTACAGAAGGTCCCTCCATCCGGTATACGAACTTCGCGTTCCACCTCGAAACCTCTTTGGTTTCTCAAACTCAAACCTCAGGAGGCTAGCTACGAACCGAGTGATATCGTCATGACGTTTCACCCGAGCCCCATGTGTCTTGTGGCATGCCTGGGATATGTGGCCCAGGGTTCCTGGCTTCCGACAAGCATCGCAGAGACCAGAAGCCTTGGGTCTACCCCTAGCTGCTCTAGACGGCGTGGCTACAGCGTTTGCCCTAATCTGAGTGGCGTGAGCAAAATCTCCTCTGCTTAGCAAACGGGTACCGGACGCGACCCACTTGTGGCAAGATGGAACCTCACAAGAGGACGCGACCATGCTGTACAGTTTTGCTTTCCACTTCCTAGAGCGCTCAGTCGTTCTGTTAGAGGGGGTTCCGGCGGCCGTGGTCGGGTCTACCCATCGACGCATTCGCGCTTGGAACGCGGGTAGGAGCGCCGCTGCCACTACCACTGGATCCTCCGACTCTACTAACGCCCCGAGCCGCTTGTTCCTTTGTAGGCGGATTGATGTGGCAAAGTCGGGTATTCCTAGTCCACCGTCCTTCACGTCGGCATGAATAAAGGCATTAGGAGTATCATGAGGCAGCCGCAGCCAGCCACGGGTGGCATGTCGCAGCCGCCGGTCAAGCCTCGCTAACTCCGTCTTACACACGCGTCCTAGAACAAGATGGTGGTTCATCTTGGGAATCAGGTGGTGCTTTAGTAGGTATAGTCTCTGTTGGGGTTTGAGTGGCGCCTTAGTGATGTTAGTCAGGCCGTCCTCAAACAGGGAACCATAGGATAAGCGTCTGTAGAACTTCGGTTTCAACCCTTTTAACCCTGTAATGAAGATCTCACCGACCTAACAAATTCACTAAGACCTGAAAGTTGCAGTATTAAATATTATGATAGATATCGTGAGGAGACATTCACATATGGGCTAATAGAGCAAGAACTCGGCAATGTGATGTCATAGTTGCCAGAATACGCCTGGGATATAGACGTATCTGGCAGCTTTCTCAAAACCCAAATGTCGAGTACACAATGTGTCAACTTTGTGAAAGAGAAAACATGCACTCTTGAACATTATATTGTTGAATGTCCCATATTGACTGACTTTCGCCCTCCTGGGCTGAGGTATGCTGAAATTTGTAACTACTATATGAGTACTGGAACACTTGATGATATATTGGACTTGTACCGAAGATTGACCATGTAATGTAACTATATAATCTGAGCTTGTAAAAACATCTTAATCACCTTCAGTGGTTAAGTTCTTAATTGCACACTAGTTTCTCTTGTCAGCTATCTCACCCTGTCAGAGTAAAAGAGACAAATATATGTGTATGTGTATATATGTATGTATGTATGTGTGTGTGTGTGTGTATGTATGTGTGTGTGTGTGTGTATGTATGTGTGTGTATGTATGTATGTGTGTGTGTATGTATGTATGTATGTGTGTATGTATGTGTATAAAGTATAAAGCTGATCAGAATTGCATTTCACCATTATAAATTCACATTAATGCATTCATAAATCTATGTATCTATGTATTTACGTATGTAGCTTAGCCTAACATTTTAAAAGCACTACGATCACCTTCTGTGGTTGTTCAATAAATCTCTGAACTGTATGTTTGACAAATCTCTCACCCTGTCCATGGAGGACAGAAGAAAATGTATACATTCTTTGTAAATGTGTGGCCACGTCTGTGGTAGAAAATAATAATAAAAAAAAACTGTCGTAGCTCAGTCAATTAAGGCAGTGTCTGGGATGCTCCTGGACTCAGGTTCGAATCCTCGTCACGGCCCTTGTGGATTTGTTCATTTGATGCATCACGTTAGTGTGATCTCTGTGTGTAAGTCCTAAAGCCACTAGTACGTATAGCGTTTCGGGCAAGGAGAGGTGGGGAAAAAAACATTTAGACTAAAACTTAATAGTAATTGAGCTTAAAGTATAAATTGTGTTGAATGAAAAAAAAATAATAAAAAATAAAAAAAAGGGGGTGGGGGGAACATGGTAGAAAATAGCCAATATACAAGTTGGTCAACAAACAGCATTTTTATATATATATTTTTAAATAGTAAGACATGGGTTGACATTTAGAAGTAAGGTAGGTTACATGGAGTTAATTAGGTAATACTTAGTTTTCATCTTAAACTGGTTGAGAGAGGTACAATCTTTGACATAATTGGGAAGGTCATTCCACATTCTGGGTCCCTTGATTTGAAGAGCATTCCTAGTTTGATTAAGTCTAACTCTTGGAATATCAAATAAGTATTTGTTTCTGGTGTTGTGCTCATGGGTTCTGTTACAACCTTCTAGGAAGCGTTGAAGGTCAGGATTACCATTACAATTCAGAGTTTTAAATATATAGAGTACACATGAGAGAATGTGCAGTGACTTAATATCTAACATATTCAGAGATTTGAGTAGGGGTACCGAGTGATGTCTAGGGCCAGAGTTGGATATTGAAAGTTGGAATTTGAAAGACTTGGGTAAATACTGGTTCAGTAACAGGGTTGTTGATTTGTGGAACCAATTGCCGCGTAACATTGTGGAGGTGGGGTCCCTCGATTGTTTCAAGCACGGGTTGGACAAGTATATGAGTGGGATTGGGTGGTTATAGAATAGGAGCTGCCTCGTATGGGCCAACAGGCCTTCTGCAGTTGCCTTTGTTCTTATGTTCTTATGTTCTTATGATATTGTTCTAATAGCAGCTTTGTGTTGGGTAATTAGAGGACGTAAATGATTTTGGGTAGTAGAACCCCAAGCACAAATACCATAGTTGAGATAAGGATAGATGAGAGAGTAATAGAGCGTCACCAGGGCAGGGCGAGGTACATAATATCTGATCTTAGAAAGAACGCCAACAGTTTTAGAAACTTTTTTTGCTATATTTAGAATGTGTCCCTGGAAATTCAGCTTGTTATCGATGAGGACTCCAAGGAATTTACCATCAACTTTACTACTGATTTGAATATTGTTTATTCTTAAATTAATTTCATTTGAGGATTTATTACCAAACAAAATATAGAGTTTTGTCAATGTTAACGCTCCTGGGTCGTAAATAAACGACGTGTATTTTTTCCTGGGAGTACAGGTGCGTCGTAAATTTACTCGCGATTAAAAAATATTTGTATAAAATCCAATTCTAATTCGATCGACTTGGGGATGGTATGAAAATGTTTACCATTAAATTTCCGTTTTTTCTAATAGGCACATGGCATATTTGAGAGAACGGCATTGTATTGTAACTTAGTGGAAAGACTATTGTATTATTGACACGGCAAGTGTAATCGCGCACTTCACACACTCTTGGTGTGGGCCGCGATCATGATTCTACATTTATATGCATATTTCCGTGTAGGGAATTTAATTGCAATCACAGTGATACCAAATTTAACTCTGTAGGACACGTGTGGAGTTGACAACGCTGAAAAGAATAGAAACATTTCGTTGCTGTTTGGAGCTCACGGCTAGTGATCGATGTAGTTCTTTAGCTTTTTATGTGATTTAACTCATTCTTTGGTGACATATACATATGTTCCTATAGATCATTCTATTGCGAACACATTGGTATAAAAATGAAATCTGTACATTGAAAATTAAGGTCAGGACAGCGAAAAGAGTATGCACTTTTCAGTGTAGCCGCTCGGCCACCCGAAAACGTCGATTTCACTTCCAGGAAGGTCCAGTCCATATCGCCGCGCGCTTTAAAGTGATAATTATTAATTAAGATTAAGAGTTTAATTAAGATTAAAATGGAATTATTCACAGAAACATACTGGAGCCTGTCAGTAAAATAGGACTGAAGGTATTGCAGGGAGTGACCTCTGACTCATTAATGATGTAATTTAAGAAAAATAACAATAGGACAATATCCAACTCTGGCCCCCAGACATCACTCGGTACCCCTACTCAAATCTGTGAATATGTTAGATATTAAGTCACTGCACATTCTCTCATGTGTATTATACATATATAAAACGCTGAACTGTAATGCCAATCCTGACCTCAAAAGCTTCATTGAAGGTTGTAACAGAGCCCATGAGCACCACACCAGAAATAAATTCAGAGGCCCCTAATGCAGCCCCCATTAGCGTGAGAGCCGTAAGGAGTCAGCCCACGCCTTACCCCAGGCACGGACACTAGGCCACACCGTGCACACCTCCGGGCCCCAGTGACGCCCCCTAGGGCAAGGAAACCATTAGGACTGTCCGCATGGGCAGTGTTTGCAGCCCTAACAGAAACCCACACAAAGGACTACCATGATGGTGAAATATGGATCTCAGAGTACAATCTTTTCAGATGTGATAGGAAACACCGGCTTCAGGGTGGGGTCAGTCTCTACATCAAAGACACACTCATCTGTACTGAGCTGCTAAACACCTCAAATGATATGGTGGAAGTGCTGATAATCAAAATAGAGATTCTAAATGTAGTTATTGTCCTTGTATATAAGTCACCGGAGGCAAACCCTCAGCAGTTTAAAGACCAACTAATGAAAATAGAACACTGCTTGGAAAACCTCACTAATCCAGCTCCGAACATCATCCTGCTTGGGGACTTTAACCTACGGCACCTGAAATGGAAGCATCTGGCTAATACAGTAATATCAGAAAGAATACCAGGAAGTAGCCTAAATGAACAGGCACATGCAAATGACCTGCTACGGATGTGCGACAGGTTTGCCTTAAACCAGCAAATAGTAGAACCAACTAGGAAGGAGAACACGCTGGACCTCATTTTCACTAATAATGATGAATTGATCAGGAACATAATGATTACAAATACCTGTTACTCAGATCACAACTTAATTGAAGTTATGACAACCATGGGGAGTAGACCTTCAAAACCAGTCCAGATTCCCGGTGGAGGAGATTTCAGCAAATTCAACTTCAATAATAAACAGATAAACTGGGAGCAAATAAACCAGGACTTCACAGAAATAAACTGGGAAGAACAGCTAGAAAATGCAAACCTGAACCAGTGCCTGGAAAAAATAAGCTCAGTAGCACTAGAAATATGTTCAAACCGCATACCCCTAAGAAAAAAGAGAAAGAGATGCAGATTGGAACGGGAACGTCGTTCCCTATATAGGCGAAGAAAACGAATCGCGGAACAACTTGAGAGTCGCACCCTATCTCAAGAACGGCGAAGAAGGTTAGGTAGAGAAATAGAAACAATTGAACTCAAGCTACAAGAATCATACAAAACCCAGGAGAGGCAAAGAGAGCAAAAGGCCATCAGTGAAATAGAGAGAAATCCGAAATATTTTTTCTCCTATGCAAAATCAAGATCAAAAACCACATCTAGTATCGGGCCCCTGCGAAAGGGAGATGGAACTTTCACCGATGACAACAAAGAAATGAGCGAGCTACTGAGGAAGCAGTACGACTCTGTTTTCAGTGAGCCATTAAATGCACTAAAGATTGATAACCCAAATGAATTTTTCATGGATATGATACCAACATCAAATCATATATCAGACGTCACCCTATCCCCACTAGATTTTGAAGAAGCCATAAACAGTATGCCTATGCACTCTGCACCAGGCCCGGATTCTTGGAACTCCATATTCATCAAGAACTGTAAAAAACTACTATCGCAGGCCCTCCACATTCTGTGGAGACAAAGCCTAGATACTGGCGTTATTCCTGATATACTAAAAACAGCAGAGATAGCACCACTTCATAAAGGAGGAAATAAGGCAGAGGCAAAAAATTACAGACCGATAGCACTAACATCACACATTATAAAAAATCTCCGTTTTATTATTATAAATCTCCATTATCTCCTCCGTTTTGTAGTGTACTGGTGAGGAAGAGGCGAGCAAGAGGTCGCCGAGTCGATTGATTGATGAAGATTAAGCCACCCAAAAGGTGACACGGGCATGAATAGCCCGTAAGTGGTGGCCCTTTTGAGCCATCACCAGTATCAATAGATGATACTGGAGATCTGTGGAGGTGCGACTGCACCCTGCGTGACGGGAGATGTCTCCCGGACCAAATGGTGACCAAATGGTGTGTCGCAGAGTCCGCGCGCGCGCGTTTAAGTACCCCACTCGATGCGCGCGCGCGCTACTTAGTCGGTTAGACACCAAATCATGGTAATACGTTTTCGTTCCCCGGAGAACTTCACCGCTTTTGGGAAAAGCAGTGACTATTTCTTGGACACTATTGATGGTGTTATCTCTAAATTCCGCAATTTACATTTAGTCAAATCTACATCAGCAGATGTTACAAACTCCCAGAGGTACTTGTAGCCGAGCCTAAGCCTAGCAGTGGTAACATCTAGAAGTCTGCTAACATTATTGGATGACCCATAGACGCGTCAAACATCAATATTATGTACTTTCGTAAACCCAATGTATCTTCTTGTATATAAACAAATAAGTAAATAAATAAATACAATTATCATTATTTTTAGTGTTGCGGTGGTGGGTGGGAAGTGTTACTGTGTTAGTGTAGTGATGGCGGGCGAGGAGGGAGGGAGCTCGGGCCCTGCTGCATCACACGGCCACGTCTCTGATGATGACTTAGACTGGATCACTCTCAGGAATGACATCAACGCTATCCAGGTCAACGCATATGAATCACCCGGAAATAAGTTCTGGAAGAAATTTCAAGAAAACCCATTAGTACCAGTTGGTAAGTTGTTCCCCGTCTTGCTGCGTCCAAGTTGTATCTAAATAAAATAAAATTAAATAAAATAAAATGTTTATTTAGGTAAGGTACATACATACAATAAATTTTTACAAAGATTGGTTGACTTATAGGGAGAGCTAGTACATACAATGCCTAAAGCCACTATTACGCAAAGCGTTTCGGGCCTCTGGTGAATGTCAAATAATTTGCCGTCGGTTTGTGAGCATAATCATAAATAGCCATACATGTGAGCACAAATAATAGCCATACATGTGAGCACAAATAATAGCCATACATGTGAGCACAAATAATCATTCACCCAAATTAATAATTGTTGGTATGCAGTGTAGGCCCAGGGAGGACCTCTGGACGAGTCCTACGACAAATCGAATTACCTGGGTATGGTAGTTTCCTACAGTAGTTTAGTTCATTTATTATGCACCCCATACCCATCTTGTGGGCGGTAGTGGAAAGGGTTACAGAGGCACATAATGGGCTCAGGGACTGAACCCCACAATTCATTTAGTTAAGCAAGTTACAATCTTGATGAGCTAGTTACAAAATTCAATATAAGTCGTCACATCAACAATGGGTTCGAGATCGACCTCAAGTACAGGTTCTAAATTAAGCAACTGACATATGTGGAGAGTTAGTGTCACAATTGATATGTTTGTCCTGCACACCGCCCCCCATCCAGTGGGCAGCGGTGGATAGGTTACAATCACTTAATTACTACCTACAGTTAGCAAACTGGGGATATTTGGCTAAAATTTCTGGTACCAGATAATTTTAAATGAAATATTGACACATCGTTGGTACATTGGTTATAGAATTGTCTCCGAATTCACGTATCTTTTCGCACTCCATCACATAGTGACGGAGGGTGTGCCAACAATTTTTTGACACAGTTTACATTTGATCAGGTCTACATCGGCAGATAATGAGAATTCCCAGAGATACTTGTAACCGAGTCTAAGCCGAGCAGTAGTAACATCTAGAAGTCTGCTGATTTTATTGGATGATCCATAAATGAGTGGCTTCTCTTGCATGATAGTATGATAGATGGAATTACTGGTGTTGATTTCACTTTGCCTTAGATCTACAAGATTTTGTTGAAGTTCTCGGTGTACTGCTGCTCTCAGATTGCTTATTGACAATCCCAGATTGTCAATTTCTCCTTTAAAGGCAGATTCTTTGGCTAATTCATCAGTTCTATCGTGTATTCGGAGGCCAACATGAGATGAAGTCCACATGAAATGGACTCTGTTACCATCATTTAATAATTTTGTTTTATTTGTGTGTAACTTCAGACACGAGCATGTTATAGTTATGTCTTAAGGAGTTGAGAGGAATTAAGGATGATAATCACTTACAATTAATGTATCAAGTTTTGAGACTTGTACACATTTCAGTGCAAGGAGCAAGGCAAATAGTTCAGTCTGAAGGGTAGAGGCCCAGTTGTTTATACGGACTCCCCCACTCAAAATATAAGCCATCACCCATTGTCAGGACAACTGCACTTCCAGCTGGACCCGTGGGGGCGGTGTAAAGAACCATCAGTGTACTGTATATGATTTGAGAGAGAGAATGCTCTTTGGACAGAGCATCAATATGGCATTGAGTTTTGCCTCAAGATGAAGCTTGGGCTGATCTCTAATTTGCTTCTTGGGTGGAGAGGGAGGGATTAAAATTGGAAAGGGTGTAATCTCCCGTGGTGCAGGAAAGTGCCGTTGATGTTTCCCACACCAGTAGTTTCCCACACCAGACAATTCGACGAAGCTTGTTCTGTTTGTTAAAACTTTATATATTGCTATGATAGGATGTGCTAGTTTAGGTTAGGCTGTTTTGGCCTCGGTTGGTTTGTGTTAGGTTGGCTTGAGCTTGGTTAGGCAGGTTTCAAAATCTGTTGGTGAATCATCTTGTGTACAATGTAATTTGTATCCGAATTACCAAAGTAAAGCCCAACTGAAAGCCATGTGACTGCAGATGACCCTAACCTAAGGCTTGCCTGGTTACTGCATGTTGGTTACGGTATCCAAATTGATATACTGTATTTGGATGGAATGCCATGGTCTGCCATGCCAATCATTTCTGTATGACCCAGGATTTGAACCTGGAGTTCTTGATTGTTAGTCAAAAACAAGCCTGTACTACTGGGGCCCTCTTGATATTTTTCTTTTTATTTATATATGAGTTTTTATATTCTTGTAAAGCCATTAGCACACACAGCGTGTCGGGCAGGTCCTTGATCCAAATTTTTTCCCGAAATACAACATTCTAAATCGATTAACAACCAGGTACCCATTCACAGCTGGGTGAACAGAGGCTACAGTTAAAGATTGGCACCCAGTCAATCCTCCCCGGCCAGGATTCGAACCCAGGCCAAAATGCTTGCGAAGTGCCTCTTTTTAATTAAATGAATTTAATTTATTAGAGTGTGAGTTCAATAAACTGGGTCCTCTTTATGTGCATGAAGTGTTTGTACAGATTATTTTGACTAGGAATATCAGATATTTATTTCTGATGTGGTGCTCATGGGTTCTATTACATCTGTCAAAGAAGAGTTTCACATTAGGATTAGCCTTTAGAAATAAGGTTTTGTACATGGAAATAGCATAAGAGAATGTGTGGAGTCAGTGCATGTTTAGGGATTTAATCAGAGGAGCTGTGTGTTGTCTGAAGAGAGTTTGTTAGTTATAATAGCAGATATTTGCTGAGGGATGCTGGCCATAAGGTAATTTGCAGTGGTTGAACCCCATGCACAGATATCATATGTTAGACAGAGATGGGCTTGGGAGAAGTATAGTGAAAAGAGAGCATAGTGGGCAACATAATACTGTATCTAAGTCTCTCCATTGGTGGTAAATGCTAGGTTGGATAGGCCGGGGGTGCATCACTTGTTGCGTCAGGTGGCGGCTTTATGCAGCTACCTGCAGGCCACTGTTTCTGTGATGGTGGACACAATTTGGGTGGATCCGGTTTCCCTGGTACCCTGTTCCAGGGCTCGTGAGTCTCAGGTTGTCCGCAGTGTCATAAAAGTCCAGCCAGCCTGCGGTCGACAGCCTCGTGCCCATGGCGTATGAAAATACACGGGGCTCACCGAGGTTTTTTGTAACGTGTCTTGGGTTGACATTCGGGCACTGGGTTTTGGAGGTCGAACAGGGTCCTGGCCGCTAGATATCTCATGAATGTTCTAGGCCCTTTCCAGCCTTGTGTGACTCGGAGGCGTCTGTCATGGCAGTCGGTCTCTTCCTCGACTTGAGTCCTGCGATGTTGCCCCCTCCCGGATAAGTCTGTTTTTCTTTGTGGGTAGTTAGTTTCTGGGAGCCAACAGGGCTTCCTCCAGAAATCCAGCGTTGAATGTAATGAAACGCCCTTTTCTGGGGATAGCCCCAGAGGTTCCCTGAAACCCACTCTCCCTCCCTCCCTCTCTCTGGTCGGCAGTTTTTCCATCTGATCTCAAACTGAGGTGGTGGTGGCCAGCTCCCTCTCCCCTTGTCATGGGGAAAGGGAGGTTATGCTAACAAGCGGGAGTGATAATTGATGGCAGTTTCTAATTACTGGTAATTTTCTTTTCTTTTAGCAAGAGTTTCTCGACTTTTTCTGGTGGTAGGTAGCAATTTTCCAGGCTAGTTTGTTTTGGTTTGCCTATCTTTTTGAGTAACTGCCCTAGTCGATGGCAGAATATGACATACGTTACATTCTTTCTTAGATCAGATATGTACCCCGCCATGCCCTGGTGACGCTCTATTACTCCCTCATCTATCCATATCTCAACTATGGTATTTGTGCTTGGGGTTCTACTACCCAAAATCATTTACGTCCTCTAATTACTCAACACAAAGCTGCCATTAGGACAATATCCAACTCTGGCCCCAGACATCACTCGGTACCCCTACTCAAATCTCTGAATATGTTAGATATTAAGTCACTGCACATTCTCTCATGTGTATTATACATATATAAAACGCTGAACTGTAATGCCAATCCTGACCTCAAAAGCTTCATTGAAGGTTGTAACAGAGCCCATGAGCACCACACCAGAAATAAATTCAGTTTTGATATTGCAAGAGTACGACTTAATCAAACTAGAAATGCTCTACAAATCAAGGTACCCAGAATGTGGAATGACCTTCCCAACCATGTTAAAGACTGTACCTCTCTCAACCAGTTTAAGATAAAAACGAAGAACTACCTAATAAATTCCCTGTAACCTACCTTACCCCTATATTGTCAACCCATGTCGGTTTTCTTAAACAATGCTGTTTGTCGACCTATTTGTATTTGTGCTGCTTTTACAGCCATGTTTCCCCCTTTTTATCTTTATTTTTATTTGTTCTCAACACATTTTATGCTTTATACTCATTTAGTATTAAGTATTAGTCATTAAAGTTTTTCCTGCCCGAAATGCTTTGCGTAATAGTGGCTTTAGGCATTGTATGTACTAGCTCTATCTATAAATCTATCAATTTATGTAAAATCTCTTGTATGTATGTACCTTACCTGAATAAACATGTAAAGTGCTCGTATATTATTGCTCCCTGTGCCTCTGAGGGTGCCGGGTTCTGGCCCCCCTGTAGACCTAATGAACTCGTGTGGCTGATGAACCCAAACTAATATAGTACACATTAGTTTGGATAGCTTCAGGGTGCCTATGGGGTTACCCCCAGAAAAGGGCATTTCATTACATTCAATGCTGGATGTTTTAAGGCTGAAGCCATATTGGCAAGAGCTAATTATATTGTGCTTAACTAGGTAAGAGTAAAGCTGCTTGTAGATTAGCTTTTCAAATATTTTAGATAAGGTTGGCAGAATTGATATAGGTCTGAAATTGTTGACATCATTGAGATCGCCACATGTATGGATTGGGGTTACTCTCGCTTTTTTAGAATACTGTATCAGGAAACATTTGGAGTTTATTTGTTGTAGAGTAATGCAATAACAGGAGCTAGAAATGTTGAGGCTTTTTTTTGGGGGGAGCCCCCTCGGCTCTCCGGAGGCAT